TGTCTTAAAACACAACACAGGTGGTGGGTCGTTGGTTGACAACGATCGAAAGCCGACCCTCAATGACAACAAATCCCTATGAGATCGTTGTGGGTAATAATTTATTTAATTAATTTGTTAGAAAATGAAACAGCTAATGAGAAAACTTCAACTCTCAATATCACCCTGGTGGCAACGGCACAACCAAGCCACAGCTCAAGCTGAGCAAAGCACGACTTCAAGCTGGCTGCTGCCTACTGCTCCACGTTCCCTAATGGTGATTTCTTCTTTCGCATAACCTGTGACAATAATAGAAAACTAGTTACCACATCACTTGCATATTTTATCTTTCACACCATTACATTAGCCGATTGTGTGGATCAACTAGAAATCATCAACTAGACCAATAATTTTTTTATTATCATATGTTACATGTTAGCAAATGAATTCTCATTTACGTTGTGTGATTTTATTTAAATATCATCTTATCAAAACTACCTTAGTTAGAATCGTGTTGTTAATTGTTGTTCAAAGAAGTTAAAGTGCAGTGCACATCTTGTATTCAAACATGACACTATCAAACAAAATTTTGTGTGTTGTAAATTTTGTGCACAGCTTCTTAGCAAATTTCATTCTTGGCAACCGAAAGAAATTTGCTAAGAAGCTGTGGAAAGTATCAATAAAGACCTATTGAATGCCCAAATTTCATGAATGCAAAGTTTTTTTTTGTTTTTTTTGCATTATCAGGAGGCCGAGGCCGAGGCCGAGAAGAAGAGAGTTACAGAGAGTTAAGAGGAGGAGGAAGCTCGAGCCGCAACACGTCGCTCGAAAGTAGTACCAAGGTTGTCATCTCTAAGCAAACCCACTAGCCCGGGTGGAGGAGTAGCAAGCTCATGTACACCGTAGGGATAGACGAGACTGTGCTTCGAGAGCCAGTCCGCGACTCTATTCCCTTCTCGATACGCATGAGTGATGCTGACCAACCAGTCCCGTCCTAGTTTCATGCGAATACTAGAAAGAAGAGTAGCATAAGGATGAATAGGGTCTTTTCTGTTCTGAATGAGATTCAGAGCCAGCTGTGAGTCCGTCTCTACCCTCACCGTTCTACAGCCAAGCTCCCAAGCCAGGTTCAGGCCATGGTTAATCCCCCAAATCTCCGCATGAGCAGCAGTAGCCTCCCCAATGTTGGCAACAAAGCCTCCAAGTCACTTCCCCGTAGAGTCTCTGACCACTCCCCCTGCCCCTGCAGGACCAGGGTTTCCGTTCGAGGCTCCATCGACATTCAAAGTAACCCACCCATCCGGAGGAAGGGACCAGCAGATGTTTGCCACATGGCGCTCAGCTGGGCGAGTACGATTGTCCGGGAGGAGCGTAGGCGCATACCAGGAGTCGTGCCAAAGTTTCATCTTGATCATGATGGAATGTTCTAGAGATGGAGCAGAGAGAGCGGAAGTTCTTCCCTGGATAGAAGTTGTGCACCTGTTCTTCCAGAGAAACCAAGCCGTCATGCTGAAAAAGGCCGGCCAACTAATGTCTCCCGCTGTCATCTCCGCCTCCATGAGGTTCCTGCGAAGCCAAACATCCTGAGTAGCACTGAAGAAACTGTGCTGATGTTGAGGAGGAACATGACGTGACCAAAAGAAAAGAGCCGGAGCACAGTCTCTGAGGATGTGGAGGATCGATTCCAGCTGCCCCGTGCATTGCGTGCAGAAGGGGTTCGCCGCGATCTTCCTACTGTTCCAGAGGTATTCGTTGCGAGCTTCATCAAAAGAGTCTGCCACATGAAGGTTCGAACACGTTCCGGAACCGGTAATCGCCAAACGATCTTCCAGTACTTCTTATCCGGGTCTGGTTGCTGCTGCGTCAGAAGGGTGAATGCCGATTTGGTGGAGAAGCGACCGTCAACAGAGACCGACCAGAAGAGCCGGTCCTCCTCCTGGGAAAGCTTGTCAACCGAAATACACAAAATCTTCTGGTAGATTTCACTCGGTAGAAGGTCGCTAAAGAGCTCTGTACGCCAGCTTCCATCCTCCTGAGCAAACTCGGCCACTGTAGCTTCCTCCAGATCCATCGGGATTTCACCTAGGGCCATATCTCGCAATGTAACCTGCAAAACCCAAGGATCATTACAAAATTTAGTGCTTCGGCCATTCTTAATATTCCACGCACACCCATTTTTGAGGATGGAGATAGCTTTAGAGAAACTAGTCCAGGTGAAGGAACTTCCCTGAACAGGATGGAGTAAACTGAGGCCTTGTCTATGTCTCCCGTATTTCGCCTGCATAACTTGCGTCCATAACGTATCTTTCTCCTGCATTAGGCGCCACCCCCTTTAGCTAACATGGCAAGGTTAGCTAGCCTCGTTGGTCTGAGGCCCACTCCACCTTGACATTTTGGAGTTGTCATCTTCTCCCACGCCACCAGGTGCATCTTGCTCTTATCCGGCTCATCGCCCCAAATCAAGTCCCTGTTCATCTTGTCAATGTTCTTGCAGACTTTATTGGGGATCATCTCAGCCTGCATGTTATACACAGGCAGGGAAGCAGCAACCGACTTGGTTAAGGTGAGTCTTGCTGCAAAAGAGAGGCGTTTGGCTTTCCACGGAGCCATCTTCTTTTGGATGCGGAGGATGAGAGACTGATATCTCTCACTAGACACCCGCTCCTGAATCGCTTGAATGCCCATATATCTCCCTAGAGCAGCTTTAAGAGGAATTACCCGCGTGCTGACTCAGTCTTGAGGCCCTCTGTCGATTAATGTTAGGAGAGACATATAAGATCGACTTCTCATAGTTCACCTTCTGTCCTGAGCTAGAGCAAAAGTCCTCCAAGCAATCTTTCACCACCTCAATCTGTCTAGTTTCTGCCTCCGCGAAAAGGAGAAGATCATCTGCAAAGAAAAGATGTGTAAGAGGAGGGCCGTTAGCAGAGAGCTTGATTGCTTTCCACTGACCCCCATTCACTGCCTCATCGATTCTGTGAGATAAACGTTCCATGCAAAGGACGAAAAGATAGGGTGAAAGAGGATCTCCCTGGCGGACACCGCGAGACGGCGTGATCGGCTAAGAAAGCTCGCCATTCCATAGAATGCGCATCCTGTTTTGCTCCACACAGGTCATGATGTAGTTAATCCATAAACTGGGGAGGCCAAACTCCTTAAGAGTGTCCCTCAGGAAGTCCCACCTAAGTATGTCGTAAGCCTTCTCCAAATCAATCTTGAAGATCAGCCCTCCTTTCTTACCTCTCTTCTTCTCCAAAGAATGGAGGACTTCCTGGACCATGATGATATTATCAGTCGTCTGTCTGCCCGGAATGAAACTGCTCTGCCTAGGTGACACCAACTTCTTCATAATGGGCTTTAATCTGCTGGTCATAGCCTTGGTGATCGCCTTGAGGCTGACGTTATTGAGAGAAATTGGTCGTAGCTGGGTGGCTTTCTCAGGGATGTCGACCTTCGGAATCAGCACTAAGGTAGACTCAGTAATGGCGTCCGAGATAGAACCTGTAGAGAAAAAAGGCAGAGCCATATCCGCTAGATTTTTCCCAACAATGTCCCACATTTGCTGGTAAAATACAGCGTGGTATCCATCCGGGCCGGGCGCTTGAAATGGTTTCATCTCAAAAATCGCTCTGTGAATGTCCTGAATGGTGAAGGGACGAAGCCGAAGAAGCATCTCTGTTTGGTTCAGCCGCGGAAAGGCCTGCTTGGGAAGTCTATCTTCATAGGGGATATTCTCCTGCAAGAAAAGGTTAGCAATAAACTAAAAAACAAGAGAGTCCAAGGCTTGAGGATCTGTCACCCAGTTATCATTGGCATCCTGAAGGGCTTCGATCTTGTTCCGACGTCTTCTAATGTTGGCTAACTGATGGAAGTAGGTCGTATTGCGTTCACCAAACTTCACCCATTTCTCTCTAGAACGCTGGAACCAAAGAACCTCCTACTGCTCAAGAATCTTGTCTAGCTCCACTTCAAGTTTTGATCGAAGCTTGGCAAGCCCAGGAGTAAAAGCATCCGTCAGCCTGGAGTCGACTCTTCTGATCCGAGCTAGCAACCGATTCTTCTTCTTCTGGATACTCCCAAAAACATTGGCATTCCAATCCTGTAACTTAACAGCCAGGCTCGCAATCGAGTCATGGAACTGACTACCGGAGTCCCAAGCTGCCGACACCAGACCTTTTAGATTGGTATCTGTTAACCATGCTGCCTCGAACCTAAAAGGACGGTTGCTGCCAAGGTTTCCGCCATGGGGAGAGGTGGAAGTCAGGAGAGGAAGGTGGTCTGAGTGTAGCCTAGGGAGGTGCAGTCTCGAAGTGCTTGGAAATGCCTTATTCCAATGTAAGTTGCAGAGGCTTCTATCCAGCCTGCTGGCCTTAAAAGTTTGTAGCTGATCTCCCCTAGTCCAAGTGAATTTTGGACCAGAAAACCCCAAGTCGATCAGCTCTGCTTTGTTGATTCTGTTATTGAAAGAGCGACATTTCCTAGCAGTAGCTGCCGTCGGAGGCCCAGATTTCTCCTCTAAGCTGCGGATAGCATTAAAATCGCCACTAAGGAGACACTGAATATCAATCCATCTGCTCAGAAGGAAGAGGTTATCCCAAAGAGTATGTTGTTCACTTGGCCGGGGGGAGGCATAGACAGTAGTTAAGATCCATGGCTGCTTATTCGCCTCCTCAATTCGCAAGGATATATGTTGATCGCAGGCAGATATAAGCTGAGTCGAGAAGTTCCGGGCATCCCAAAATACCCAATTTCCTCCACTTCTTCCATTAGCTTCAACACGGATGGAGTTCGGATAACCCAGCTTGTCACAAGCAGCATTCGCCGCCGTCCCGCTGATCTGAGGCTCCACGAGAATAACGAAATCGGGGCGATGAGTCTGGATGATAAGCTTCAAAGCACGGATGAAGGTTCTGCTACCCGCTCCACCTACATTCCAAGAGCGAACTTTTAAATTGGATTTGACAGACATAGGCAAAAGGTAAAGGAACAAGAAAAAAGGAGGAAGGGTAAAGAGAGAGGTCTCAGGAGGTGAGATCGGTCTGATCGATGGCTTTAGCAGCCCCTGGTTGCTCCTCCGAGCGAGACATTGTGTTGTTGCCGCCCGCTTTCTCCCTAGCAGCACCTGTCCAGGCGTTAATTTCTTGGAGAGTTAGCGTAGCAATTCTCGATCTAGCTTTAGTTTTTCGGTCTTTCTTTGGAGTCCAGACTTGAAGTCCTTTCATTGGGCTGAGCTTCATGGGAGTCCTTCGGTTGCCAGATTGCCGAGCTTTGCTCTTTTTCGTCCTCGTCTTAACTGAGGGTGATTGGGAGGCGTTTCCTTTCTTCTCTTCTATCAGCTTGGGTTGGAGATTGACAATCTGCATCGACGTGCCGTTGACGCCGGTAATAGTACTGACCGGCGGGGGAGAGGCAAGGGTCGTCGAACTTCCAGTTTCCTTAACAGACGCGTGGTTGGAGATCGGTGGTGGCGACGGGGGTTGGGTCTTCGATTTTGGGGTAGCAGAAGCTTTAGAAAGAATATGGGCCGAGGTTGAGTCTTGGGCCTGGTCAGTTGTGGGCTTAGACCCACTACCACTAGCCTTGCTATCCAGTTTCGAGCCCAGCAGACCTCGTTCCCGGTCATGGGTTTCATAAGAGACGATCTCTTTCCCTTTCTTTATCCCGTCCCCAGCCTTCTTACCCGCTCCGCCTTTCCTTTCTAGAGATGGTGGCCATTGTGACGCAAAAGAGGTAGGAGTCGAAGATATTGGGGATGCCTGCCTATTCTCTTTAACCAAGTCATCCTGCTTACCCTGTTTTGACACTATCCCACCGCTGGAGCTCCTAGAATTGGTCTTGAGTTTCCCTTTTTTGGGGAGATCCCGTGAGTTCCGCCTGCTTTTGAGGGAGACTAGCATCCATGGCTCGAATCCTGGGTTCGATTCCTCCGTCGCTTGTGCAGCCTCGGTCGCCTGAGTCTCTCCGCTGGTGATCGCCAAAATCGCTGGAGACTTTGTAGTCTGAAGTTTGGGACAGAGCGTAGAGGAATGTCCGATTCTATCGCACTCAAAGCAAACCTCCGGCAGATTTTCATACTCGACCTTTTGCCACGCATCAGCAAGCCATATACGGGGCACCAGGGGCTTCGACAAATCCACTTCCACAGCTATTCTGGCAAATTTCGCGCGCTGGACCGTTAGGGTATGGAAATCCAATCGGATAGTTCGTCCGATGAGGTTGCCCAGAGTTTTCAGAATTTCCTTGTGGTAGAAGTGAACTTTCAGCGCCGGGAACTGGACCAAACGATCATCTTCCTTGGAAGAGGATCAGAAACTTTGAAGCTCGGGGTCCATTGTTGGACCGCTAGGTAATGATCGAAGATGGTCCAGGGCCCGTCTATGAGTGCTCTAAAGTAGTCTTGTTAGTTGCTGAGTTTGACAAGGAACGCATCCTGATCAAGATCCGGTTGGTCTCCAAATTCCGCGGAGGCGAGAACATAAGGTGGAAAAACCGATCTTGGTACCAAGTAATCTAACAACAACGGTGCGCTGCCAGGGAGCACAGATCTTGTCTTTGAACGACGGAGAGATATTTAGTGTTGGTTCTCCGTTTCGGAGCCCAGGAATCAATCATTTTCTCCCACAGGGGTCGAAAGGACAGGTTGCCAGCCCGCAACCGTCGCCGCGTAAGAAAAATGAGGCTTTGGGTTTGTCGGCGATGTTCGGATCGGGGCCGTGCGCCAATCTTTTCTCCTCATTTGTGGCCAGAGATTCAGATCGGTTGGCTTCTCCCAAAAGGGGAACAGCCAAGCTGGAAGAGTCAATAAGCATGTCAGAGGCTGCAGATGATGGTGTAGCTGATGGAGGAGTGAGCGGAATCGGATCTGGAGGCCGGTCTGAAGGAAAGAGAGCCGGCGCCGGAGAAGGGGTTCCGCTAGCTGAGGTTGAGAGCATTTTTTTACTTCAAATTTTGGCCTTTTTCACTAATGGTTTAATTTTGTAACTTGACCTGGTAGGTCTCCATGCAAAGCTTGTTTATGTAGAGTTCACTCTCAACGACGACAAAGTATTGAACTCATATTTAAGAATTTATCAACAAATCACGTAATTTACTACTAAAATTCAACACTAAACAAAAACATTTTGTAATCTACAAAAGCTACAATTCATTATTATTTTTCAACATCTAGCTATTTGAACTTGATGCATGCAATCTATCACAAGTTCATCAACAGCCCAGCGACTTGAAGTTTCCTTATGGATTGCTCTTTTGGTAGAGAAGTAACTCTATCGCATCAAATATAAAAGTCTGTTAGTATGAGTCGTTTTGCATATGATTACTTAGCCGATCCCAAAGATGCGTACTAATTATTAGTTTGCTTGTTGACTGATTATTGAGAAATACTTTTAATGGTCTTCCAACGGTGGATTATTGACACAAATATTGTTTTTTTTTTAAAATTACCGCTAATATTGCGGATTAAAAAGTATTGACGAAAATATTGTGTTTTTAGCGTAGTTTTAGGTGCTGGCGCTATAGACTGAGGCGCCGCCACCTTAGCCTTTTTTCTTCTAGCAGACCTAGGTGCCGGCGCCAGAGACTAAGGCGCCGCCACCCCACTCCTTTTTATTTTAAAAAACCCGCCCAATCCCCCCACCCCACCCCACCCACCCACAGCCTTATCCTTTTCTTTCCTTCCTCCTGACCACACAACCCCCTCTTCCCCCCTCTCCCCCGACAGCCTCCTCCTCCTCCCCTCCACCCCCACTGCTTCCCCCCTCTCCCCGACAGCCTCCTCCGCCGTCGCTGACCCCACCCACCCACAGCCACCAGGACGAGACCGCCCCAGTTCAAAGCGCCGCCGCCGCTCTGTCAGGTCTCGCTGCCCCAGAGCCAGGCCCCGCCGCCGCTGACGATAGCAAGAGCGCCCCAGTGACAGGCGCCGCCGCCTCCACTCCAGGCATCGCCGCCCCTGTTCGTGTCGCCGCCGCCCCAGAGTTGGTCGCCGTCGCAGCCAGCTGTAGCGCCGCCGCCCGTAGATGTCGTCCGATGAAGAAGAAGTCGCCGGCAGAGGCAGAGGGAGAGGCCGGCGAGGTCGTGGCAGCCGTTTGCGCGGTGAGGCTCTCGTCGGCAGCTTGAATGTTTTTTTAATGGTTTGTGTTTTTTTTAATGGTTTGTTGCTTTGTTTTTGCAGTTCCTAGGCTTATGGATCCGTATTCGATGAGATTACCGCCGGCGACAATTGATACAGGTCCGGTCGATGCGACACTTCTTTGGGGACATGGCCAACATCGTATCGACTCTGTTTGGACAAACGAGGAAAGTATTTGATAATTATTCATGTAAAGTTAATTAGCTAATTAGATTATTTTAGTTGGTGAACTGAACTGTACTGTTAGAGAATAGGATTACAGATTAGAATTAATTAGGTGAAATTAGAATTATTACGAATGAAGATGAATTAATATAAGTTTTGTGCACTATAGGCTGGTGATCGATCTTACCATGTTCGAGGTACGACCATTTTAGTACCTTACCACGAGCTTTATCGGCCATATCTCGAAGCGGCAGGCTTGTTAAGTGTCGTGCCCCTAGTCCCTATGAACCCCGATGCGAGTTTGATTACTGCGCTCGTAGAGCGGTGGCGACCCGAGACGTCGACCTTCCATCTACCGTGTGGTGAGATCACGATCACGTTAGAGGACGTTGTTACACTGTCCGGTTTGGCGATCGACGGTGATGCCGTCGTAGTTGATATACCGGATGAGGAGTGGTCGGCGATCTGTTTGCGACTGTTAGGACGGGTTCCTTATGATCTTGTAGGCGGGGTCGCTGTTGTTAGGATTACATGGCTGAGGGTTGAATTCAGCCATCTGCCGGATGATGCATCACAGGAGGTTATAGAGCAGTTTGCACGAGCTTATGCTCTATCTCTGATTGGAGGTGTACTTTTCCCGGATCGGTCTGGATCTACGGTGCACCTACAGTACCTACTTCTGATTGAGGATTGGGAGAGGGTTGGAGGATTCGCCTGGGGAGCTGCTGTTTTATCCTATCTGTACCGTGAGATGGGTAGGTCGACTTTGCACATTTCGCATACCGGCGCTTCTCTAGCCGGTGACCTTGGTGGATGGGTCGCCCTACTACAGTTCTGGGCGTGGGAGCGATTCCCACATCTGGCACCTCGAGATTCAGAGACGAGGGCACCGGCCACCGAGGATGCACATCCACGTGGTCTTCGATGGCTTTCGGCCAGCAGTCGTCAGTAGGGTGACCAGCTATTCCAGTACAAGCTGTGGTTTGACGCGATGGACACCGTGGTGGTTAGTATATAACATTCCATTTTATAGAATAGTTTTCATTTGTTTTATTTTTTTAGATTTAGGGATAATAACGTTAAATTTTTGCTATGTAGTGGCAACCTTACCGTGAGAGAGCACTTCATCTCAGAGGTAGTGTGATACAGTCTGATACATTTCGAGCAGTAGTGCCACTTATCTGCTTTTCATCGGTGATGTGGCATCATCCAGACCGCGTGCTCCGGCAGTTTGGCATGAGGCAGCATGAGCCTCATCAGCCACATCCTGAGGCTGAGGTTAGGTTTTTCCTTCGCCAGGCTACTCGTGGGCCATCGCGTGGGCAGCAGTTGGTACACGCCTCCAGAGAGTCGCTTGATTTCTGGAACCGTCGACACGAGTTTGTAGCGACATCTTCATACACTGATGATGAGTTAGTCTACCACTCGGAGCATATGGAGTGGTATAGAGATGTCACCAGACGTTCCGGCACACGGAGAGGAGTTGTAGCGGAGGCACTGGTTAGTTATTTGATTTGTTTGCTTAATTTGTTGTTAACTGTGTGAAATATCTGACATTTTGTTGGTGTTTTTTAGTACGACACTATCGAGCATGCTGAGGTGAGTTTGCGTGACGGTGGGAGGGCTGGAGGACTGACCCCTGACCAGTGTGAGGACTTGGCCAACTTTATGGCATCCGGGGTTGCTACTCTAGGGTTTGAGCAACGTAGATACCCTGATCTCACAGTACCTGTACAGCCCCATTATGCGGAGCCTGTCATGACTGCCTGGCCAGAGCGTACTGATCCGACACCGGACTGGGTCGCCCCAGAGCCACAGTTCAGACAGGAGCGTAGGCCACGTAGACAGCGACGTGAGCATCGTGATGTACCTAACCCATTTCGGGTTACAGATCGACAGCGAGCACAGCCCATCCGGCCTACTACGAGGAGCTTCCAGTTTAATCCGCTTCGGTCGCAGTTTCAGTCAGATCCGTCTTCGAGCTTTCAGCCGCCGCGACGCCAGCAGTTTCAGTCAGATCCGTCTTCGAGCTTTCAGCCACCGCGACGGCAGCAGTTTCAGACAGAGGCATCTTCGAGCTTCTATCAGGCAGAGGATAGCTTCCATACACCGCAGCATACTACGATGGGAGGCGGAAACATGGCTTCAGGTGGTGATACTAGAGCAGCCTCGACTCCCAACCTGTGGGACAGCCTAGAGGGTGATCAGGTTTTTCAGGAGACGATGTGGAACTATGAGCAGAATCTGCAGTCTCAGCAGCATGGTGGCGGTGCGCCTGAGGAGCATCTTCAGTCTCAGCAGGATGATCTGTTCGGTACACAGGATCAGGATGGTGGTGAGGAGGAGAATCATTCCCAGGCGCATGCTGGTCGACCTATGCGTAACAGGGTGGCTGCGAGGTGTGGTACTGGCGGCCATCTAGTGGTGGAGCATGTTGGCCGTCGTGGTGGTCGTCGTGGTGGTCCACAGTGAGACTATTATGTAGTTTGTTTATTTTTGGATTGTTATTATGTACTTCCTTTATTACACTATTATGTGTGGACTATTATGTGTGGACTATTATGTTTGGATTATTATGTAGTTTCTATTATGTTTGGACTATATAGGATTATGTTATTATTTTATTAACGATAAAAACCATAACTACAACAACTTCAAACAACAACTTCTACATGATTATTCGAAGGAAATACAACAACTACATACCAAACTACAACAACTTCATACCAAACTACAACAACTACTACATTTGAACAAACTTCTCAGCCACGTCTATTACCTCTAGTTCCTCTTCGACCACCTCTCCCTCTTCGGTTGCTCCCACTCCCACTAGCTTGACCACCGCAGGTTGATGCATTATGTCCCGCTTGGTTACAGTTGCTACACACTTGGGAGGATGCACCCTCCCTTGGCCAATCCATCTCGTTGTGAATCCTTGTAACCCGTGGCCTCCCCGGCTTCCTAAGCATGTGCACATTAGGATGG